AGGCAGTAACTGATATTTACAAAGATGTCCTCAAGGTACCACAGGTTGTGGCTGCTATTAATTGTCACAGAAAATTTAAGTTTTATCCAGGGTTAGTGTTTGAAGTATTCCTTTGCATTCAAATAGTATTATAATTAATTATCCAAATACGGAATGAATCCTGTCTTTTTATTAGCCAGATCACTGGAATAAGCAAATCCCAGCATTTCCCACTTTACCAAACAGAAGACCTTCCAATAGAATTTCTTAGAGAGGATAGACATCTTCCCTGAAAAATAGTGAAGTCACCTAACTCATAGTGTCTGGGTTTCCTTAAAGTAAGAAGTGAAAGAAGGGCTGGATGGTTCAGCATACCCACATTTATTTCTTGATTCTCCTTGGCCTCACAGGGGGACTGAGTGATTTTGGGGGGAATAAGCAGATCTGTTTGCTCAGGAGAAGTAGGCACGTGTCCGCGGAAGAGAGGGAGACAGATGGCCGGCTATTGTGTTACAGCCATCATCTGCTGGCTGTGAGCAAATATTAAGTGAATAATATATATGTAATTGGTGTGAAAGTACAGTTGCAACATTTCTAATACTGTCTGAAGGATGGCTACTTCTTGAACATTTGTATTTTATAGAATCCTATATTGAAATTTTTTATGTATAAGGTTAATCCATTTAAAAATGCTTTAAAGTGAACATTTTTCCCCGTTTTTGACACTACTGTGCAATATTTTGAATTGAAATGGCCCGTAATGGCCCCCTTTTTTTATTTTCCATAACAACACAAGCACTAAATTATAGCTGTGCAATTATGTAAACAATGGAAATGCTTCCAGAATGAATCTTTCCTTTTAAATTTTCATTTTGTGTAATTGTTGGAAGGTTTGGAGCCATAATAAACAAAATTATTTTACACATTTATCGTTCTAAAGGTCAATTATAAGAGAACTAAAGAACAGCACTATGCAAAACGAAGAAACCAATTTCTGTTGCCATCACCATATGTTTTTCTTATCACTTATGGTTTTTCCAGTTACTGTGTACATAGCATTCAATTAAAGCGATTCATTTACCGGGCCGAATGCAGTTTGTGTTTATAGAACTGTGCTTTGGAGGGGAGGAAACAACACGCCTCTGTTTGAATTACCTGATTTTTTTGCAAGATCAGTGATAAGAGACAGATGTTCTCACCATTCACTTTCTCATAAACCTGAATCTCTGGGTAAGCCACAAATTTGCAGTTACCATCTTAAAACCTAGCTTTTCACACCTGATAGGTAGCATGACACAGGCTCTTCACCAAAACAAGAGAAAAACACAAATTTGGTGGCCTGTTCCTCACATTATAGCATTTTACAGGATTATTTCCTTTGAACAAAAAGCACATAAGAGAGTTTTTGTGCTTTATCCTGGTCACTTTTAAAGAATAAACATAATGCCTAGTTTAAACTCCATTTGCCATTGAGCTTATTTATTTAGTTTATGGTTTTGTCTGTTCAAAATGTGGAAAAAGAACTAATTGTTGCTACTAAACTCACTTGTTTGGGGTAAGTTCTACTATTTCTCACAGGAATGAAACCTAGAAAGTCTCAAATAGTCATTTCCTCATTTGCCCTATTGCTCATACTCCTGTGCCTAATTGCTATTAAGCTTTGGTAAGGATGTTGTTTGAGGGCACTGATTTCTAGAGCTTTTTAGTATTATGTGTAATCCAAGAGGCTTGTTTGTGCCCCCTTTGAAATGTTTTTAAACACTGTGTAAATCAGAAGAATAATAGTTTACTGAATCATACAAGCTAAACCTATGCATTCTACAAAATAAAATGTTTCAGAGTCCTTCTCTTTTCCGACATTTTTTTTCCCTTTTCCTTGCAATTCTGTTTATTCCTGAATGGCCCTTTTCAGCTTGCAAAGGCATTTGTCCACATCTTCTTTCCCATTGGAAACTACTTTTTAAGGGAAGATTGTCCCATTTTATGAAAGCAAAGTGTGAAGCTTGAGGTAAAGCATGATTTTCCCAAGTCTCCCACACAAGGCTTTGGTCCAGGCCTCATGGTGCTAGTTCTGGAATTCTGTTGGCTGAGTGTGAGTTCAGGGGTGATTTCCGCTATTGCTCACAGCAGAGACAGCAATGAGCGACAACAACCTCCGAGGACGGACGGCCTCTCTTCTGGTCTCAGCTTGTCCTGTTGACACATTTATCCAGGCGTGGGAGTTGCCAGCAGAACTTCTGACAGTGCTGTGACACTACAAACCACCCTCTTACCAAGAGAGCCCCAGACCATCAGATGATGACATTTTTAGCAAAAACTTAGTATCATTGGCTTATTGTCATTGTTTGGTTCAAGGAGTATTTTCTGTTTATGACCAAGGATACTCATTTTCCAGAATAGTTTTACTTAAGTTCAAACCAAGTGAATCACTTAGAAAAACCTGTCAGGCAAGATGTTCACTTTGAGGGTGGATGCAACAAAGGGCCTGAGGGGTCACCCTGTTGTGTGTGCATATAAAACCCTGGAGAAAGGTTCACAATCTCGGGCTTTTTGTTTTATATTTCCAGAGATCCCAATTACAACTGTGGTCTCTGCGTATGGAGGGGAAAGTGCACCAGGGGTCCTGCTGGGAGTTGCAAATGTGCAGAGCTCTCTGGGTTCACTCTTTGGGGAACACGCAGCTGCTGTCTTTGACTAGCACACTGTTGTCCCTGCGTGTTCAGTGTTATCACAAAGATAGACTCTTTGGGTTCCATTTCCGTGCGGATGAACACAACAAGCAGGCACGCGGTTGTCTTTCGGCTGACTGGTCAGATGGCGCCCTCCTTAACCCTCGCGTTACCCTACCCCTGTGCTGTCTTTGGTGACTGCAGCATAGTCCCTGCTTCTCCTGGGCACTGTCTCACGTGGGTGGCAGAGGAGAGCTGGCCAGCCATCTGTTGCTGTGCCCTCTCTTTTCCATCTTCTTGCCCATGGAAACAGGTTCTGTTGAAGTGACTACTGGCCGAGGTCCAGGGCCTTGGGGAGCTGTGTGATTCAGCTCCACATGTCTGTTGTCTTTAGCATCAGTGGCAACTTAGTAATTTTTTCTGAATGCCCACTCACAGATCAATGCCTTTACTCTTACAGATTTTATGAAGCAAGATGGATTCCATCTGTAAATTCTGCCTTTAGCTTATTAAAGGATTTGGTTCCTAATTCCCATAAACTTATCCTAGAAAAGCATTTTTAAATTAAATCTTGAAATTCCAGCGGTAAAAATGGCTCATTTGACTTAAGTATGTGCTAAAGATCTTTAAAACCCATAGGCTTCAGAGTTTTAGTTCCTCATCTCAACAGATGGAATTAACACAAACATAACAAAGTTAACATCCTGGTTGTTTGCATTATTAATCTTCAGATGCATGGCATTCTGCTACCTTGCTCGCCAGGTTTGCACAAACCCTTTCATTGCAGCATATGTCAACAGAAATGTGCCTCCATCTGCCGCTGGAGAGCCTGATGCCTGATATTCCCAGACAAGGCCCGGCACAATGCGTACCTCTGTGAGTAATTACAGGTGTGTGGTGAGGAGCCCAGGGCATTAATCAGAGGCTTAATTATGAAAAAGGTGGATCTTTTGTTCCACTCCCAGAGCACGAGTTTACCACACACTTTTTAAGCTGCAGCACCCATCTGCTCAGCCCCTTAGAATATTTGCCTTGGCTGATATGGGCCCTAAAGTGTATGGCAGGACGTGATTAAAGCAGGTTTAAACATTAACTAGGAAGAAGCGTGGTTCAGGTTGACTTCCCTTTCTTTCCTCCCTGTATCTGTCTATCTATCTGTTTATTTTGGGTGTAGAAAAAAAGTCTGCTGAAATGCCAAAACTTTACATTAGGACTTGCTAAACTGCCATATGTGAGTTCTAGTAAATTAAACATGATGTAGTTGTTCTAAGGATGTAGTGTGGTTTATCAAAATTCATTGAGTGTACTAGAGAAAGAAAAACATTTTATGAACACATAGAAATTCTGTTTTAAGAAGGTAAGTTAAATGAGATTATTTTTAGTATGGAGGATTTGAGTTCATGTGTTAGAATTTAGCATGTTGCTACCACTTTGCTCTAATTTAATAGAATTAAGTCAGAATTATTTTGAAGGATTTTTCAGATCCTGAAAACTAAGAAACCAAAGGTCTTTGTATTTAGTGTTTTACCTAAGTATATATTGATAACTATTTCTAGGTTGTATAACTACAAGTCACAAAATGGTGGTACTTCAGTGTAGCTGAATGATGTGCTTTCCAAAAACTGCATAAATGAAGTTTGCAGTGTACTTCCTCATCGCAGTTGTGCATACATACACACGCATGCACACGCACATGCACATCATTCACACACATGTCCTCAGAGGTGTGGCTTGTCAGTGATAGTGTGAGTGCTGTCCAGGACTGGATTCAGACTGCTACAGGCAGGGATGAGGGGCCAGCGGGCCACCAGTGAGAGGCCTTCACAGACTCGGCCACAGGCATTTGAGCAGATGATGCTCTTAGTGCTGCATCCCACACAAAAGGCTACTGGGCACTTTGTACTCGGACTTGGGATCATACATGTTCTCAAATTCGCACTGACCCCTGGCCTTAGTGTATCCCTGATCACAGTATATCCTTATCATTCCATATTCTCTATCATAGTGCCTAAAATTACCTGAAGAATGACATTTCCATCCCTTTGCTTACTTTAAGGTTTTTTTAAATTTAACAACTTGCTTTAACTTTTAAAAATCAAAACCTAAAGACAGAACCTATTCTTTATTGTAGTGATAGGTGTTTGAAGGTTTTATTTCTGTATCTACCTCCTGTTCCCTGTAAGATGGGTGCAATAACTACTGTAGTAATCCACTTCCTGGTACCTTGTCACTGAAAAATGTCTCTCCTCTGCATCCTCATAGATATATTATACAATGGTCCTATGTATACACAAAGTACTTTTGAATTTTGTCCTAAAGTTTTCAATCATGCATACTTCTCTTCTCTTGTAGGATATCTTGAATACAATCATAAGACACTGCCCACCCCGATTCTTCTCCCTGGGTCTGCCTGGCTTCTCCATGCTGGTAGGGGACTTCATCACAGCCTCAGCCAGGGTCCTCGGCACAGACATGTTGGTGGTGAGTATGACAATGCTCAGATCCGAGCTCCCAGGAGGCCTCCAGATCGCTAACAAGGTTCAGATTTCTCCACTCTTAACAGGTGTCGACTCATTAGTGCAATGTGAAACTGGGCTCTCAGGGTAGATACCCTGGCAGCTGATGTGTGAAATTGTAGGATAAGATGACACACTGGTATTGGAAAGGCGTTTCATCAAAAGGCCAAAGTGTGAGAAATCATATCCTCACTAATATCTCAGCACATTTGCACTGTCAGAGGCAGGGCTTGTCTCTTAGAATCTTATTAGCATTGTCTAGTAAATGGTGGTATGGACATAAACATCTGAAGTAAAAAGAGAATTTTAAGTGTAAATTAGCAGTTAGATACTTTTAAAAAATTAAGTCTTGGTTACTATCTTATAGAAAGTATTTTGTTTATTATTTATTTTTGTAGTGCTGTGGATCAAACCCTTTGACTCAGCATGTTAAATATATGCTCTACCACTTAGCTTTATCCTCAGCCAAAAAATATTTTCTTAAAATGTTAGAACACTAAAATTTTAACCAGAAATGAATATATATTTCTTATAAATCTGCAAGAAAGCACTGGCAAAAGTCTTGACTGAAAAATTAGAAGCAAATGGGCTAAATGTGCATTAAGGGTTACAAAAGGAATTTATTTTCTATCTCTGCATTTACTGCCACTATTTCACAATATCTTAATACCTTTTGAGAGAATACTTTTCTGCTTTTAAAATAAAAGGATCTTTCTTCCCATTTGTGCTCTGGATGGCAGATATCCATTCATTCATTTTTCCCTTTCAAATGGTATAAATAAAATGAGCTTTCCTATTTGCCAGGAATTTGCATTGAAGTCAGTGTGAGAAGCCAACATCCCAAATTTTGTTTAATACATATTTATCTTTTCTCTCCACTTATTTTTTTCTGTGCAAGGTAAATTCAAACTCCAAGCTGTAGGTTTTAAATATTTTAAATATTCTGTATATCTGATATTTCATGATGATCTTTTTGTGCTCTAACTGTATCTTATTAGTATAAATTAACAGGCAAGAAAATGGTAAAGAGATAAGGGAAAAGGAGGGAAGAAAAAATAAGAAAAATTCTGAATTTGACAACTTTTCATACTTCATTATGAATATTATTTCTGAAAAAGATTTTAGGATAATCTCAAAGAACCTTCAATGTTTGTTTTTTTGTGTTTTTTTTGGTACTGGGGATCGAACTCAGGACCTTGCTCTTGCAAGGCAGGCGGTGGAACCACCTAGCTAAATCCCTGGCCCTCAAGTTTATTTTTAACCACTTAAATCAACATTGAAAAAACTTACAAGATCCTGGCGGGAAAATCACACTTCTTTACTGAAAAATGCTTTTACTAATTGCTAGGAGAATTTTCTGTAAAAATGCTATAGGGAGATATATGATATACCTGTCCATGGTGATCATTCTCTGTGCAGATGTATCTTTTGGCTGGATGAGCTATTTAAAATAGCCACCCAGACATGCAGTTGGCTAACAGGTATATGAAAAAAATGCTCAAGATCAGTGGTCATCAGGGAAATGCTAATTAAAACCACAATGAGGTAACCATCTCACAACTGTTAGAATGACTGTCATCAAAAAGACAAAAGAAACAAGTATTAAAGAGATGGAGGAAAGGGAGACCTTGTACACTGCTGATGAGAAGGTGTAAATTGGTACAGCCATTCTGAAAACTAATGGGAATGTTTGTCTTAGCTACTTTTTTGTTGTTGGGACCAAACACCTGATGCCTACAACTTAAAGAAGAAGAGGATTATTTTGGCTCAAGGTTTTAGTCCATGGTCAGCTGGCTCCAAGGTAGAAATGGCGTGGTGGAGGGTGTGGAGGAGGAAAGCTGTTTCACTCTTGGGAGTCTGTAAAACAGAGCAAGGGAGGAGTCAGCAACAAGTACACACCCTTCCAGGTCACGTCCCATGCCACCCACCTCTAATCTGACCCCACCTCCTACCACCTCATTCAGCTAAGAACCCAACAATGTATGAATCCACTCACAAATATATAGTGCACCCACAGTCCAGTCACTTTTCAAATACACAAGAATTTTGAGGGACATTTTAGATCTAATTAATAACAAAGTTCCTCAAAAAATTAAAAATAGAACTATGGTATGATCCAGCAATTCCAATTCTGAATATATCCTAAGAAAATGCAACTAGGATCTCAAATATCTGCATTCTTCTGTTCATTGCAACATTATTCTGAAAGGCCAAATTGTGGAAACAACTTAAGTGTGCATCTCCGGATGAATGGATAAAGAAGATGTATATATACACAGTGGAACATTATTCAGCCTAGAACAAAGAAGGAAATCTTGTCATTTTCAACAGCATGGATGAGTCTGGAGGCCATTATACTAAGTAAAATGAGCCAGGCTCAGAAAGACAGACAAAAGTGCGTAATCTCACTTGTATATGAAATCTAAAAAAGTCAAACTCAGATTCAGAGAGGAGGTTGGTGGTCACCAGGGGTGTGGTGATACTGGTCCAAGGGTACAGGGTATCGGTTATACAGGGTGAATTAAGTTCTAGAGACCTAATATATAACATGACTGTAGTTAATAACATTGTATTCTAAGCTTGAGATTTGCTAAGAAAGTATATTTAAAATATTTCCCCCACAGAAAGGACAGTTATGTGAGGTGATGGCTATGTTAATTAGCTTATAATTATCATTTTACAATGTGTATGTATATCAAAGCATCATATTGTACACCTTAAATATGTACAGTTTTATCTATCAGTTATACCTCAAGATAGCTTGGAAAAAGAATCAACAAAAAAATAAATAGTCTAAAATGTTTTTCAGAAACAAAATATGAATGAGAATGTGATTGTAAGAGTTTCAGAAAGGAACAGCAGCTTTTTGAATCACTTTTTTGTGAGATTTTAAATCACAGGGGAGCTGTTGAGAGGCTTTTGGTTGGGGCTCCCCTGCTCAGCAGAGTTTTCAGATAAATCAAGTTAAGAGTATGAAGTGCCCTGCCCTGCAGTCTGTCCTACTGAGGCAAGGTGCAGGATGTATGCTTAGGTCCCAGAAATAATGGGGACAGGCTTGTGCACAGCAACAAAGTTTGTCACAGACAGAAGCTAGAGCCAATCTAAATGTCCATGAACAATGGAACAAGTGAACTGTGGTGTGTACATTAACATGGAACTTACACATAGTAAAAATGCAACAATGATGAGTTGCAGGCTTGCCTGTAAACTAGGGCCAGCCATAAATTCAATGATTAAAGGAAAAATTGTCTAGATTTATGACATTTTTGAATGAATCTGTAAATATTCTCTAAGGCCTGATGCTTTGCATTTAGTTGTCAAGCTGAATTCAACAAAAATTCCATGCTGCATACTAGGCTCCCACACTACATAATAGTTCAAGGCCAAGTAGGGAAAAGTATCAGTGCCAAAAGAATGTCTTCCAGGCTCATCTGGTACAGAAGGAGCAGCAGCTGGTGAGCAGAGACAAAGCAAAGTCTCTTCAGAAGCACTCACCATGGACCACTGTGTGCCAGGACCTGGCCTGAATGAGTTTTATAGGGTCCCTACCCTAGAGGAGGCAGATGTGTAAACTTAACATTTGCAAATAAATTTCCTGCCCCACCGTAAATGCCCTGCTACCATCTCTCCTAAGGAGGGAAGTTCTCTTTCATTTCATACTATAAGCCCCCTGTGGGCCTGCACTTAGATGGCCACAGTTCAAATTTAGGGTCCATTGCCTACAGGCTAGATGACTTTGACAACCTACTCAATTTCTCTGAGCCTCAGCTTTTTCATGGAAAATGCAGATGATAATAATGTCAACTTCATTGGGCTTTTGAGGGGACTCTATGTGGAATGCTTGTGCAGCACTTGCAACAGTGCCTGGCACAGAATAAGATCTGAAGTCTTAGCTGCCATTGTCATTATTAAAAAAATAGGGTAGATGGACAGATGGGCAGACGGGCAGTGGTTGGGTGATGTACCTTTGAAATACTATGCCTGCCCCCATTCTTGGCTACACATAGCTGGTAGATTGAATTGAAATCTAGTGATCTGCCTCCTTTAATATATACCCAATTCCAGTAGTGGACAAATAAGTGACTAGTATCTTACTAGATACAGTGACTTAGACACCCAGTCTATGTTATTTTATAAAGTTATTCCTGGTGAGACATAGGAAATTTGGTAGACCGTGTCTTCTCGGTGATGGCTACCTCCAAACCACTTCCTTATGAATTTTCCTTAATTGTTCTTCACAGCAGAAGCTGGTCTCATTTACCCTGCTTCATTAAGAACACTAACAGTAAAACAGTCAGGACTCAGTCATGTGCCTTTCTAATTCTCAATGACTCTACAGACTAGTTTTCACTGTATTACACGTCTAAGTGTAGCAATATTTCCCATTCCTTGGAAATTTGCTTTTTAAATATTCATCAGGAAAATAAGTAGGCATATAGTATGATATTTCTAATAACAATAAAATAATTATCCAGATTCCCTCTTAAAACCACAAAGAAGTAAAATGTGTCATTGCTTCTCAGAATGAAAGCTGTGTGCTTCCCACCCTTTGTTTGCAGGCGCCTCGTTCTGAAGCTCTCACCATCCTTGGGTCCCTCGTCTGCTTCCCAAATATCTACCAGGAGATCCCATTACTGCCGTCTGTACCAGAAGTGAGTGAGGTCGTCACTGGAACCGAAGATGTCAAGGTATGTAACGCGCTTGACCACATCTCCAGTTTAGTATTTTATAGCTCCAGCTATATCTTCCATTGTTGTACATTGATCTACTCATCCTTGAAATTTTGCTGTATCTTTTCAGTGTTTTGGTAGATATTTTCAGAAGTCTGTTCGAGGGGCTATAAACGCATTCAGAGCACCCTGCAGTTAGACTTGGTAGCTTTATTCCTAAGTGTTTTTATTAGATCTGTTTATCATGCCCAGGGATCCAAATCATGTAGTGAATCATCTTTTGTAATAATTTCATTAGCTGAGTTATGCTGCATTAATATGTCAAGTGAATTTATAAGAAATAATTGAAATAAGCTAAGTACACAATTCTGTTGGCCTGATTAAATACTGTTAATAATTTGGAATTCCAAATTATTTCTTGGAGAATAAAAGTACTTATTCTCTTCTCAACTGACTTTTGAGGCAAACAAAAATAAATCCCACCGTCAGTCAATTTAATGATTAGAATATATAATTCAATGTATAATGTATAATCCAATTAGTGTAAAAGTAAAGGGAGATTTTACTATCTGGAGGTCTCCTTGCTTTCATTGCTACCCAGAAACACTCCTGCCTCTGCCCTAGCCCCAACCCACAGAGCTCTCAAGCACCCTGGACCTCTGGTAGCTCTTGGCTGCACGGAGTATGGTCAGCCATATGGGAAACCAACCATAACATAAAAACAAAGTTGGTTTTTTTAACAAAGTTTTTGATTTACTTCATTTTGTGTTTTTAGCATTACCTTATAAATATTTTACTGAAGAATGCCACAGAGGAACCAAATGAATGTGCAAGGTAAATGTTGGACAAGAGGTAAACTCTTTCAGAATTTTTAAGAGACATTTTTATGTGTAAAAAGTTAATATTTAAAGAAAACACTTTGTCCTTCACTTCAGTCTTAAGCAGTAAAGCATATGCACAGTAGGAATTCTGTCAGGAAAATGCTTTGCCTGCTTGCTTATTTATCTATTTATTTTTGGATTTTTGAGACAGGGTCTTACTCTGCAGTTCAGACTGGCCTTGAACTCACTATGTAGCCCAGGGCTGGCCTTGAACTCATGCCAGTCTTCCTGCCTCAGCCTGCCAGGTTCTGGGATTACAGGTGTGCAATACCATACCAGGCTGCTTGATTATTTTAAAAGTTATGGTTAATAATTGAAAATTGTAAGGTGCAGAAGATTATAGTATGCTATCTTTCATTTAAGAAAAAAGCAAGCTAACAAATACATACATATATTCCCTGATATTTTCAATAAGAAGGAGAATGGAAGAATAACCTCACAATTCATAAAAGAGGGATATGTGTAGTGTTGTGATCTCAACTGGTGGTGACTCTTGCCAGGAGACACTGGGCAGTATCTGAAGCATTGTAGCTGCTTCTGCAAGCATGCAGGTCACTCGCAGTCTCCTGGTGGTTCTCTGGGCCAAGTGCACAATAAGAAGGAAGCACTGCCTCTTTTTCTAGCTGAAGCCAGGGCTGGGAATGCCCAGGTTCCAGCCCTGCAGGGGCAGGCATGGGAGCCCAGTTCTCACTCCTGGGTAGCTCCCTCCTAAGACAGCAGTCCCCTGGTCCCTGCTGGCCTCTTAACTTGATGATTCTAAGCTTCTTTCAATTGTATATTTCACCTCACCTCCTCAGTTATATGCAGTGGGTGGCTTAGTCCAGGTTTCCTAGTCTGCCATTGCCAGAAGCCAGAAGCTCATTATCAGTTTGCTATGTTAAACTAGACTGGTGCCTTGGGACAAACTCAACTTGATTAACATGAACACAGAACTGGATCTGGTTTGGCTCATACTTTGTTCAGGAAAGTTAGGTTTCTCTTCATGGCCTGTAATTTCCTTCCCCATCCTGCTTTTAGCAGGTTTGGTTCTAAGTTACAGAGTCTCACAAAATGAGTAGACAACTGTTTTATTCTCTTTAGTCAGGAATAGTTTGTGAAAAATTACTTAATATTCTTGTGTCTTTAATAGACTTTGATGATAAAACCTCATAGGTCTAGTTTTTTCTTTGTGAGAAGGTTAGCCACTGACATCTTCTGCAATGGTTTTGGGAAAAGTATAATCCCTCTCTCTCTCTTTCTCCCCCCTCCCTTCTTCCTCTCTGGCAGTTTTGATAAACTAAAATTTTCTAGAAACCTTTCCATTTTATTTGTTTTGAAATACACTGGCTGCAAGTTGTTTCTATTAGTCTTTGTTTTTTTACTTCTGACTTGTATAGTTATATCTGTAGTTACTGATATCTATAGTTTTTAATCTCTGAGACTTGGTTTTTTTGGGTTTTTTTGGTACCGGGGATCGAGCTCGGGTCCTTGTGCTTGTCCAACAGGTGGCAAAAACACTGAGCTAAATCCCCAGCTCTAATCTCTGACACTTTTGATGTGTTCCCTGATTTTTAAAAACTAGTCTTGCCAAACGTTTGACAATTTTACTGTTTTTTTCAAAATTAGGCTGGTATGTGCGAGGCCCTGGGTTCAATCCCCAGCACTCCTCCCCTGCAAAAAATATTTTTGTCTTATGTTTGTGTTCAACCTTTTTATTCTGTTTTTATTTCCTGCTTTCAGTTCTTTTTTATTCTTCTACTTCCTGTTATTCCTTTCCTCAGTACTTAGTGTATTAATTTTTACCCTCTCCCCTTTACAAATATAAACATTTAAGACTAGGTGCTACTTTATCTGAATTTTAAAAATTTTAATATTTAATATTTTCCCTTCCAGCTTTTTTTTACTTTTTATTATTAAGATTGCTTCTTAAATTATGAATTATTTAGATATATATTTCTATTTTCAAGCATATGGCTATTTCTACATACTTTTTTTTCCTACATACTTTTTGTTACTGCTATCTTAATTGCATTATGGATCAAAATGTTGTCTGATAATTATGTTTGAAATTGTTGAGATTTTCTTCAGGGCCCGGTATATAATCTGTCTAGTCAGTTTTTGTAGCTGTTCTCTGCGTGTGTGTGTGTGTGTGTGTGTGTGTGTGTGTGTTTGTGTGTGTCTGCCTGCATCTGCCTGCGCATGCATGTGTTTGTTTTATTTTGGTACCATCGAACTCAGGACCTTGCACTTGGCAGGCAGGCACAGCACCACTGAGCTACATCCCCTGCCCTGTTCTGTATATTTTTAATAACATGTAAATGAACACATTATTGTTTATTTGTTGGGCATAGTGTTCTAGATGAATCCGTTCTATTAAATTCTTTAAGTCAGAAGCTTCAGTTATCTTGTATCTTTTGTATCTTTTCTGATTTTTTTCAACTTGATCATTCACTGAGTAGAGCTTTGTTAAAATCTCCCCTTATTATGGTGCATTTCATCTATTTCTCCTTGTATTTCTGTTAAATACATACAGTTTGAGGTTACGTTACTAGTATATAAGTTGAGAATTATTCTGTATCTGAATCAAATCTTTTATTTTTGTCTAGTGACCCTCTGTATTTCTAAGGATGACATTTTTATCTTAGAGACCACTTTATCTGATATTGATTTAGCTATTTCATAATATTATCCATACTAATCATTGTTGGTGTTCCTGTTTTTCCTGAAAACTGGACTATTGAAAGTCCCTTATCCTTTTCTCTGAAGAAGACATCCTGTTAATTAGCTATAATTTATGTTACTTGGAATAAACAGATGTAAAACATTTTGTTATCTGAAAATGTCAAGAAAACATATTTTCTCATGAGAGTTTTCCTTCTTTTTAAAAAGGTGCATTGCCATTTGCTCCCTGGGGGTGTGGATCTGCGAGGAGCTTATGCAGCGCACCTGGCACCCCCAGGTGAAGGAGGCCATCAATGTGGTCGGTGTGACACTAAAGGTATTGCCACTTGACATTCTGTTATATCCAGTTTTGGGTGGAATTAGCCCCACCTTTTTGGCCCGCAAATTACAGAGAGTTGGTGATTCAAGACTTTCTTCCTGAGAGCCCTGGCCAGTGTGCTGTGGGAGTCCCAGCAAAGGCCAGCGTGGCTGCCTCCCCACTGGTAACTGTGGTTACAGATAGTGTCCCCACACCAAGCCCAGTGGCCAAATAGGGTTCCTATGGAGGCTGGGCAGCTCCTGTGGCAAAGAGGACATCTGCTTCCTGTTGGCAGGGGTGACAAGAAAGTGGAATTTCAAGCCCTGGCCTCTTCAGCAGGCCTGGAAAAAGGTGTGTCCACCAGACATTTTCAGGATGCCTTTTCTTGCTTTGGTATAGAGAGGAGAAGCTACTGTTTATGGGGCACTCTCACGAGGGCAGAATAACGATGAACTCTCCAAATACTTTGTGAATCTTTATGACAACTCTACAAGGTAGCTGTTACAGTCCAAGTTCTTCATCACAGGAAATCGGGGCCTGGAAAAATCAGGTATCAAGTCCACAGCACACAAGGCAGATCAAATGACAGTAAAGCCATGATTGAACTTCTAGTCGTGCAGTTAGGCTGCTTCCTAAACTAGAGCCCCAACCCTGTCCTTTTTCCTCTTAGAATGGGAGTGATGATCAGCATTGCCATTACGCCCCAGAACCAGTGAGTGCCCGTCTCAGCCAGGTACTGTGCAGAAGGCTTAGAGGAGGTTCTCTGCAGGGAGCTGAGTGTCTTCACCTGTGCAGGAGAGTTGTGCAGCTTGGCCACTGCTATGGGATCACCCTGCTGAGTCAGGTGCAAGCCCTGACCCTTATCCACCAGTGTCCCAGCCTTCTTGCCCATCTCTGCTGCCTGCTACGAGCAGCTGTGAGAGTGACAGTAGTGACAGCTGATGCTGAGCTGTCATCATCAGGCAGGCCAGCAATAGGGTATTATCCAGACATGGCGCGGCTTCCTGCCCAGCGGGAGGGAAAGTTATATCATTGGAGCTGGAAGGGTGCTTGCTGCTGTTCCCCAGGTGAAGAGGGGAAAAACAATCCAACCAGTGTTAGTTGAGTGCTCCTTCAGGCCGAGCAGGGTGCTGGCCTGACGGTGGTGATCATTGCTAGTCCCTAGAGTGGAGAGGCACTACCACCTGCACCTCACAGGTGAGGAAAGTATGCCAACTGGAGACCAAGGAGCTTGCCCATCCCCCCAGGACCCTCAGCTTTGCCACGGAGGCTCCCAAGAGCAGAGAAATCCTCTTCTGGCAGGATGAGGGGAAGTCAGGGTATAAACTGTGTCAGTATGGGTCCTGATTCATTTTTTAGATGCCCTGTTTTCTCAATTCTAAGATCTGCTTTGCAAATGTTAATTGTAATTAAATCACTGTATGTTTATTGTAAGGTCATAGAAGAAAGGCAGAAATTGATAAAAGAGCTGTGGAATAAAATAACAGACAGATATCTTCTTTGCATTTCCATGAATTTTCCAAAAAGCCTACAATTTTTCTGTAATTTTGAGGAAAACATAGGTGAAAGAGAAAACACAGCTGCATGTGGTCCATGGGGCTGTGTGGGGCTCTAGGGTGCAGGGTGACATCACCCACCAGGGCTCTCCTCTCTGGTTTGGTGGGCTGCCCGCCCTGCCCTTTAGAAATGAAAGGAAGGAGGGCACCGAGGGAGCCCAAGCTGGCTCCACATGAACTGCTAGGAACTCAGAGGGTCAGGACACAGCCAGGCAGGTCTCCCTTAGCTGTGCTGACAGTAGGAGGATGCCGACTGAAGTACTGACTTCCCCAGGCACACCTCCCACTGCTGTCTGCATGCCCCACCACTGGCCTGCCACCTGCCCATGTGCCCACCACACTGCCTTCCTGAAGAACACAGCAACAGGAGTCCAGGCATGCCTGACCGGGAGGGAAGGAGGTTCCGGAAAAAATGGGGAGCAGCAGCCATTCTGAGGGGAGGGGCTCCAGGGAGCATATGGCCCTGCCAGAAGGGAGCCATCACAAGGAGTCATGGTGGCCCATCCCCACTACTGTTAGCAGGATACAGGGATGCTGTGGACTTCTGTGCAGGCTCTTGCTCTCCTTAACAAAGAATTGGAGAGGAAATGAAGCAGCAAGGTTTTACATTTATTAAATGTATGAAAACAAGGGAGAAGAGCTGCTCTGAAAGAAGTGCTGTGCAGAGTGAGTGTAGAGTTAAAGTAGGAAAGGAGATCCCTACACTCCATGGAGGATAGAGTGGGCTACCGAGAAAGAAAGAAGGCCATGACTGCCAACTTTTATATCTTATTCTGACGTCAGCTATAGGCCATCCTACTGTATCAAAAACTTGCTTGATCTTGTGCCAGGAGAATTGAAGATAGTATTCTTTGATTGCTATCAGGACTAGGGCTTGGCAGCTATTCGGCACGTGTCTGAGTCTACATGACTAACAGATCATGCCCACTTTCCCAACCACTTTGCCACACCCTGATCTCCTGCCTCACTACCAGCCTCCCCACACCCATCTTTGCCCCAGAGCTGGGAGCCCAGAAGGGCTCTGTGTAACCCTAGCATGTTGCTAGCTGCTGGGCCCTTCAGAATCCCTCACCCCCTGGGGTGACCTGGGTGTGGCTTGGGTGCATGAATAGGCTCTCATCCCGTTGCCCCATCAGCGAGTGTGCCCAGGGACCCCACTCTCCCATGCAGGTACCATGCTCTCAAACACCTGGCCTCTTGCCTTTGGAGATGAGGCTGCCCTTGGCCCCACCTGCTGGTCCCCTCACAGCACTGGCTTTTCCTCTGGAGTCTGGTGGCTGGGTGTCTGCGTGGGTATCAAGACCCTAGGTTTACCTGGCTTGGTCATGGGGCCCAGTCACTGTGGTCTGCAAAAGTAAAATCAGTCGTGTTTTCCTCACTTTTTCTTCATCCTGCACGTTTGTCACCAGTGCCGAACACTGACCTTTCGGGGGTGTCCTATGTTGCATAGGATCTGCCTCCTATAGCTTGGGGTGAAGCTATTCTAGACTAATGATATAGGATCATCCTTGAGTCTTTTTGCTCAATCAGGTACAGGCACCTGTGGAGCTCCTGGGTTCTGGCAGCAAGAGAAGCCTGGGGTGCACTCGTGTACCCCAACAAGATCAACCAAGACCTTTCACAAGAGATGAGAACATCTAGAACCCCTTGGTGGTGACCAAGGACATGCACTAGCCACAGGAGACATACTCAGAGTCATCCAGTGTACCAAGACTCGTGATTTATGTCCTCATGGTCTCTAAATTTCCACATTTCCTATGCTATATATGGGGGTCAAGTTTCATTTCACTGGATACAAATCCATTTGATTAATTTCTGTTTCTTCATGTGTAAAATGAGGATAGCATCAGCCTTACAGTGCCATCAATAAAGATTTACCAGTGGGAGAATGAAATTCCCATAAAAGGTTCAGCACACAGGGGTCACTCAACAATGTACTGCATTTTGATTTCCTCCAGTTGTAAAAACTATGATGTAAATGAGCTGAATAAAGAATTTGAAATTATGGTTTTAATTTCCAAGTGGTCAAATGGCAGCTACTTGTTTCTGTACAACATTGTGTAAATCAGCAAGGCTAGGCTAGACAATAGGCAGTTACAGAGTGGTGGTATGATCATGTGTAACTTCCCTGTTAAACATAATTTTTATCATGTATTTATGCAAAACACATGTCCTGTAATATGTATGGAACTGGGAAGGAATAACCCTTTTGTTCTTTCTTGTGAATAATGCACATTATGCTCTATATTTACTTTGAGATATTGTTTCCTTTTGTAGTTTCCTAACAAAATCGTGGCTCAGGTAGCTTGTGATGTTCTTCAGTTGCTGGTTTCCTATTGGGAAAAACTTCAGCTGTTTGAAACCTCCCTGCCTCGGAAAATGGCAGAAGTAAGTCCTTTCCCTGTAACACTAACACACACGCTTCTCCTTTTCAGCATCCTTGATATCCAGTTAATTATAGATCCCCAAATGATTGCTAGTGAAAGGTATAAATTGCCATGAGTCCATCTTGGACTCCTCTCAGCTGTAATTCTAGGCACTGTGCAAAGAAGCCAGCAGTGTTACAGGGCAGAGGCTGATACTCCAGGCGATTGAAAGGCAGACATGACCACAACAAAGAGTCCTTTTGTAGACTGGGTTCCATTCATTGAGAGTAATTTGGGTGGTGCCAGCAAGGAGTGGGCAGCTGGTTATAATGCCCTCCACATAGAGTGGAGGAGCGGCTGCTGTGTAAAGCAGGAATCCTCTCAGACTGAAGCCCTGGACCATACTCTGCCATAGCAGGATTATCAGCTATAATGAGATGACTACCATCGCCACCTCTGGGGAGGGGCAGAAGGAGCAGAATCGTCTTGCCCAGAGCACCCTGGAGTTCAGTTCCACCCAAAAGGGTCTGCTGTCACCTAAACAGGTGCCCTCACCCTGCCAGTTTTTATAGCTACACTTTTAAGAACACACCTGTCCTTTACACAGCCAGTGGTGACTCTGAGGAAATTTGATTTGTCTCCCTAAGGGATCACAGGGAGAAAGAAGAGATGATGGTGATTTATTTCCTCTCAGACCTAGGCAAAGTTCACTGGGGAGATCACTCTGTTCCCTTGAAACACATCAAAAATCACAGGTGATTTTTTTACCTTAAGTGACCAAGAATGTAATAGAGCTTTGGACGTGGGAATATAAAATGCCACAGAATGTAAAGTTGGGTTGAGGTCATTGGAATGAGAAACCTTTTGAGAATGAGTGGGTGCTATTGCGCAGGGCAGCAGGCAGAGTCTGGGTTTACAGAAGATGAGACAGCGGCGTTCTCATGAGTCTTTTCAAATTATCTGTGGACGACACTGTGGAAAGTGAGGAGACTGATGATGGTGGAATAGGTGACTAGAAAAAAACCTTCCATCCCTTGAGACCCACCCCCAGTTCCCCACCAGCAGATCAGGTGGAAGCTGGACATGGACCTCATGCCTTCTGATTCTCAAGACCACACACACAGCTGTCCCACAGCTCTTTGTCACCTTCCTCTGAGGAGCTGGCACCAGGCTGGGGTTAGTTGCAAGGCCGCCCTGAGACTCTTAACATATGGCTTCCAAACTAATGGTCTGTTTAATTGGTGATTTGTCTTTTATGCAGATCCTTGTGGCCACAATTGCTTTTCTTTTACCAAGTGCAGAGTATTCCTCAGTGGAAGCAGATAAGAAGGTAGGTGGCACATTATTAACTTTCTTCTTAAGTTTTTTTTTAATGTAAATTAGAATGATAAATGATATTACAGGTATTTTCTGTGAAAATACTATTTATTTATTTACTTACCGACCTCAAGAGCATCTGTGTGTCCCCTGAGCAACCGCTGTGTGCAGGGATAATTCTCTTGTTCAGTGTCACATAGACTGCATTGTAAGGGCTGGTGTGTTTCTCCCTCCAGTTCATCGTGTCCTTGCTCCTCTGCCTCCTGGACTGGTGCATGGCGCTGCCAGTGAGCGCCCTTCTGCACCCAGTGTCCACCTCAGTCCTAGAGGAGCAGCACCTGTCTCAGGCGCCCTTGTTGGATTATATCTACAGGGTGAGTCTCCACTCGGGCCTCAGGGCACAGGCTGGGGACCTGTATGTCAGAAAACTACCAAAGTGTGTTCTGTGCTTTTACTTACTTATCTAGGCCCTTCGAAAAGGATTTGGGGTGAGTTAAACATTTTAAAACAATGAATAACTTAAGGAGTGAAAGCAGAACAGATATTGCTGGAGAAAGGCAGTTGTTACCAAGTTAAAGATGTTGCATTCTTATATGACTGTCTTCTAGAATCTTTGAACAGCTACTGTTTGGTTAGAATACCCCAGTTTTCATGAAACATGGTCTGTTTCCACTTAATTTTTAAAAAGAACTATAATATGGGAATATCAAGAGGATTAGTTTGACAAATCTATTTATCAAAGGAAGAAAAAAGTATAATGGTTCCAGTAATCTCTTTGCCCTAAATAAATCTTAAAAAATAAATTGAGGACACTGACCTTGTGAAAAATAGCAATACTTCAAAAATTATATTAAATTTACTTTCATTGAACTGTACTTTAAAAGTCATGGGATCATGAGTTATACTAATTTAAACTCATGAACTGTCAGGAAGTTCACTGTTGGAATCTACTCATTGTGTTCATTTGTTCCTCCACTATGAGTGGCTTCTCCCACACCACCCTCCATCTTCCAACTCAGCTCCCTCTACTGGTGTCACCTTGAGTGGATGGAGGAGGGCTTAGGTGTGTGCAGTCACACAGGCTGGTGACATGAGCAGTTTTTCACTTTTACTCTCCTTTTGCTTTGAGAATATACTTATTGTCATTAATGTGAAAGAAGGAAAATAAACTTGCTAATAGCGAGAAGATATTTGAGCATGGAGGGGATTCAGTGTTTTGAAGCACTCCTACACAAGAGTCCCAGGAGTGTTGCCATGGTACTTGGACAGACCATGTGGGGACAGGAGGTGATAGTACCCACAGTGTTGTTCCCATGTCTCTCCCACAGGTCCTCCACTGCTGTGTCTGTGGCTCCAGCACATACACCCAGCAGAGTCACTATACTCTGACCCTGGCTGACTTGTCCTCTGTGGATTATGACCCCTTCCTGCCCCTGGCCAGTGTAAGGAGCTCTGAGCCAGTCCAGTGCCATTCCTCAGCAGATCTGGACAACCTGCTGACTGTGGAAGAGGGTGAGTATTGTTCCAGACGTAAATCCTTGTGGTGAAGAAAGGGAAAGATTGTAGCCTTTTGTCAGTTCTTGCTGTGGTATTTTCTAAAATCTAGCTGTTGGTGTTGAAATCCTGAGTCGTTTCTAAGGGGAATTCTGCCTTCCTTGTTTCCTCCTTCTCTTCCTCTTCTCCTTCTTTCATCTTCCTTCTTCTTTTCTTCCTCTGTATTCGTCTCTCTTTTTTTCTCTCATCTTAGTTATCAGATGGTTTTATATTATTGAGGACCTATGTACCTCAGACCCATGGAACTCACACCCCCCGCCAAAAGGCTCATTTTTTATCCACAGTGAGCTTTGCCTTTAATGGGAGACACAGGAGACACCCAGAAAGAGTGTGGCCCAGTAGCACTTTGAGGCTTCCCATGGAGAAGGATTGAAGCTGACCTTGGCAGGATGGGTAGGCTTTGAAAGAAGCTCATGGATTGGTCCAGACTCTGAGACTGTGTGAAGAAAGTTGGGAATTTACTTGCCACCATTTGAGATTGCTCTGCTTGTGGCGGAGTCCACTTTTAGAACCTTTGAAGACTGTCAGGACTGAGAGACTGCTTGCTGTGTTTCTCTTTTTAGCCACCCTTCTCCCTCAGATAATAAGCAGCAGCTCTGGGCTTGGACTGCTAGTCAGAATGTCTGTGCATCCTGTCATCTGCATATGTGATAAAATTGCACAAAACTAAACATACAAATGAGTGCATGGTGAACAAGTGAACACAGAATGATACCAATGGATCGTATCAGTGTTAGTTTCCTGATTGTGATATTGTGTTGTAGGTAGGTGAGATGAAGGGTATTTGCAGTCTCTCTGTATTCTTTTTTATAAATGCATATAGATCTTCAGTTTTCATAAAATTAAAAGTTTAGAAAAATATGGGTGTGGAGTGCTAGGTCACCTATGAGAATCTTATGTACTTGTCAAGTTAGAAATCTAGCTTTGAGAATGGAACCTTGAGGGTAAAACCACCCTTAAGGGAAAAGGAATAAGAAAACATCACCAGGATAGCAGAGCCAAGGAAGTGGAAAGGGACCCAGAAGGAGTCATTTCTCAGAAGACTGGGGAAGAGGGCAGTGGTGCTAAGGGTGTGCAGCAGTGCAGGTGCCTCCAAACCCCAGGGAAGGCAAAGGAGAGAAAGGAAGGAGCAGCTTCATTTCCCAGCTTGTGTTTGGTGCTAAGTTTGGCCCGAGCGCTTTGGGCAGAGTGGCTGGTCAGGCGAGATTATCAGAGCAGGTGCCCTACATGATGACCCCTGAGAACCTGAAGACAGACCACTCCTGTGGGGCCCTGGGTGCAGAGGGGAGAGGGACCCCATTGGGCTGTGGCCGGGGTGGGCACAGGGCACTGGGAATGTGCTTGCAGGGCTGTGAGGTAGGAGTGTGGTTCAGGCAGGGATGAAGGACTAGAGTTAGGGTTAGGGAGATGAGCAAGGGCTAGAAATCCAACAGCCCAGATTTTAGCTCCATTTGTTTGATGACTAGACTGAGGTTGAGGGATTTCTCTTTTTACAGGTCAGAAATAATAGAGGTGAAATTGGAGCCTAAGATTTAATGAGTAAGTTCTTGAAATATGTTGTTTACTCAGAGGTTTGGCCACTGAGTGGACTAAAGACTCCTGAGCTATAGGGATTGTGAATCATAACATGGTACATTTCACACTGTCCTCCTGCCACTTATCATCTGATTGTCTTTTCTGGAATTCCACTGTCTGTTAACTGCAGTATCTTCCCCAAATTTCTCCCACACTTATAAATTTGAACAATATTTTTAATTAAAATCAATCTTGATCCATTTCTTTTGTTGTTGCCTATCTTAACAATCCATGTCTTATAAAAAATTAACTTCCTAAAGTGATGAGCAGACACCTACCCACATGGCTTCTGCTAGACTAGATTCACCACTTACTACAACTTGTCGCTTGAAAATAGCAAAGAGCTAGTCAGTTTATGAAAGTGGAAGAACCTAAAAATGAGCGTTTAAATTTTGGTAGTTTCCTTTCAAAGTACACTCTTCTTTGATTTGAATATTTATTCTCTAAGAAAACCTCAGGACCTTATGTTGAAGTTCCCAACATAGTTCTATAGTACTCAAAATAATTTCTTAAACTTCTCTGACAGAAGAATTTTTAAATGCACTACCATGTTAACTAAGTTAAAAAGCCAGAAATTTAAAAACACTGTCATGCACAGGTACTCTTGCTAGTTGGCTCTTTCCTGTTAAGGAGTAGAGAAGATAAATAAAAATTGAGAACTTTTAGGTTAAATAAAACATAGCTGTTTTTCACTCAGTGTCACAATTCATCATTCACTACAAAACTATTTCTAGTTAGGTAATGTTTCTGATAAGCAAGATTATATCTTTAACTGTTATTTTTAATGATTCTTTCTTAGATCATTGCCTAATGCTTGATATATTTACTACTTTCAAATAAATTTACAAGTGAGGGACAGTCAAGCCATCAGCAGCAGCAGGTGCCCTGTGCTGAAACTGCTCACTCTGAGCCCTCACTGCTGGAATGCAGAAGGGGACTCCAAAACACGAGAATGAAGGGATGACCTAACACCCTGCTTTTACATTCTATCAGTAAATTTAGAAAAAAATCAAGAAATTTAGACTCTTATTTTTTAATAGTTTGTGGAAGTTCAGGAGCTCATTTTTCATCAATAGGCTCTAAGATTTTCCCTTTGTTCTCAGGGAATATACAGCAAGGAATTTAACTGAAGTGTGCCAGGAGAGAGTGATTATTACTTTTCAGTATTATGGGTTTTATTAGATGTGTCATTGTGTCATGATTTATGATCTGATGTATGTGACTCTTAAGTTAATTTCCTATTATAGAATTCAAACATATTCATAAAACACATTTACCTTTACCTTAAATTGAAAGCACAACCCTTGTGAGTAAAAGCAGAGGGAAGGTGATTTTCTAATTATTATTTTCTGCCTGGTCCTAAGTGGACCTTAGTCACCAGAGCTTCTTTACTAGGAAGTCATCTTATACCAGGAACGCCCAGACTCCCAGCAGCTTCACGTGTGCCCTTTGGGGCATTAACAGTTCTTAGCTTGAGCACTGAATTTGAGCATTAACTGTCTTAACTGTGTGGAATCATACACACTTCTCCTAGGGACAGGAGGAAGAGTCTAATTTCAGAGACGGATGTAGGTGACCTCTGCTTCTGAAAATTGAGTCTTTTGACATGAAATTAGCTGTTATTGAATGTAGATATCATGTTTATTTTTAAAAACAACAAGAAATTCAAGAAAACTTAGGGTAATCTTGTTCTTCTTGGTCTTTACCCAGAAGTTCTGAGATTCAGGATTTTATTGTTTCTTTCTAGGATTTGTACATCATAAAATTGATGTGTTATGAAAGTTGGATTTTTAATACCTAAGGGGAAAGTATTTACCATGAAAAAATATATTTATAGTTACTTATGTTTTAATACTTGGTTTTTCATATTGTGAATTTAAAAGCGAAGTATTTCTTAAAACTTTAAGCTTAAATTATAAATCTTAGTTTATTTAAATATCTAGTTTTTGGCTAAAATTAACAGTTTTATTTTCAGTTATTCTTAGATTAATGCATAAGGCATGTTATAAATTTGGCTGGTTGAAGTTTCCCTAATTGCTCTGAAGTAGTCATTGCAGTCTGCATTCATGGATTTCATTATCTGGTTCTCCTTTGTGCCTCATTTTACAAGGCCTTCATGTACATACAGCTGTCAAAGTATGTATGCATTTTAAGTATTAAAAATTTTGTAAATCAGTTGCTCTTTTTTTCCTTAAATTCTTTTATTGCTACATTTTACGTATACAGTACATTTACATTTATCACTGGGAACTTGTACCTTTCTACATAATGTATCTTGGTTCTTATTTTTTCCCTATTCCCGGCCCTTCCTTCACCCATTCCACCCTTCCCTATTTACAAAGACATTGTTTTCATTTCTCATAATTTTTCCATTCCCTTCTTTCCTTTCCCCTACCCCTCCCACTTCCTCTACCCCTTTGGACCTTTTCTTCCTCTTTTACATTATCAATTATTCATTTTAATCGTTGGTGCGTTTTAGGTATACAATATAATGACATTCATCATTGGAAATTTGCACCTTTACATAATCCCTCTTGGTTCTTATTTTTCCCCCTTCCCCTGCCATCCCTTCAACCCCTGCATCCCTGCCTATTTACAAAGACTTTGTTTCCATTTTTCCATTTTCTCCTATTAATTCCATTCCCTTCTTTGCTTTCCCCTACCCCTCCGACTTCCCCTTCCCCTTTGCCCCTTTTCTTCCTATTTTACATTATCTACCTTTTAGTCCTTATTTACACTTTCAGTTTCTCACACTAGAGAAACTATTTGGTATTTACACATGTGTGTCCTATTTAT